CAGCCTCAACCCACCCCACCCCAGGTGGCTGGGGGAAGGAAGCCAGGGCTGGCACGGCCTCAGACCTGCCTAATGGCCGGGGTCAGGGGGGTGGGAGGGACAGGACTAGGAAGAAGAGGCAGAGCCAGGGCTGCCATGGCTCTGCCTGGCCTTCTCTGGCAGCCAGGGGGAGAGCCAGGGCTGCTTACCCCCAGAGAGAGGAGGGTTGGTGAGCATAGCAAACAGGGGGCATAGCCCCCTAGTTATCTATTAAGATACTTCTATAGGCATTTTAGAGCAAGCGGGCCTGTGGAAACATACAAGAACAAGTAAGCACCAATAATATTCCATGCTCCCCATCAAATTAGTACATTATAGAGTAATGGCAGTGCTCTTTTTTCTATTTTTGTCTCAGGTCATCAGTATGAAGATCAATCATTTTGAGAATTTATTATAGGCTGTCCTCACGATCAGTCCAAGATATGTTCCATAAAATATGTACTTATAACATAACTTAAAGCGGGGAATTTTTTTCCCCCACAGCTGACTTCCATTTGGACTAATTGTTTTGGGGAGTTTTTTGTGTGTGACTTTAAGGGCAGGGAATGTGAGTACGTGTAGAAACACATCAGTTTCTACAAGCATCAACAACTTAAGTGTGGAGCACATGTATACTAGGGCGACTTACAGCAGGGATGCCCTGTACAAGCCATTTTTTAACAGTGCTGTCATTGGCACAATCCATTGCACCTACCTTCTTTATCTCCTCGGGCACACCCTACAAGGAATCTGGATACTAAGGGTGTGCTGGATAAAGACAAACAGGTAGAAATGAAGACGCTCTGTGTTGGTCTAATCTGTAGTAAATGTCCCCATAGTAAGCCAAAAGCAATCATCAGAAGTGTCATGTAACAGGGTCCTTGCAAAGATATCTTCCACACCTTGAGGATAACACACACAGAAATTTGTATTGTATAATCTGAGGATTGATGAACGTTACATTGATTTTTATGCAAATAAGTATTAAAAGAGATCCATGTGAATTTGGGCTGCAGAGCTATTCATAGAATAGCCCATCGCTACACAACTCTAACTAATTGGTAGACAGTATCCAGTGTTGGGTGCCTCATTAGATGAATTAGACAACCTGGATGGAGTTCAACGAAGAGAAATGAAAATAATTTTAGGGCTAGATGGCCTGACATAGCAACTGAATTATACAAATACCAAGTAGGCAGAGGAATTATTTAGCATAATGCAAAGGATTATAAGTAGCAATAATGGAATACAATTAAGACAAACAGTTAAATATCAGGAAAATCCTCTCAAATGTGAGAGCTAATATGAGAAATGAGAAACCCCATTCCCCAAAATTATTTAAAACTAGACAGAACAAAGCACTAGAAAATATACTGTAGCTCAATCCAGCAATGGAAAGGTATGGACTAGTACATGGTTTAATAGGTCTTTATATTTAACACCTGTAATTTATGAGTAGCTAGTGAAGATAATTTTATATTATCATTAAACTGATACCCATATAACTGTCCACATATCAGTAAAATAGACCTCCTTTTATGTGATCTCACCGACTTGCAACCCTCAGTCTAAAACAAACATAAGCCATGCAAAATGTGTCTTTTCAACTATTACTGTTATTTGTATTACTGTGCTAGTTTTAATAATTTATTTTGAAACAATATATTTTCCATTATTAAAAATAATGTATCTTAATCTTTAGGGCTGTCAAGCGATTAAAAAATTTAATTGCGATTAATCATGTGTGCCTCCCCTTTGAAATGCTGTGGCAGCGTTCCAACGGAGCAGTGCTGCATGGAGCCCAGAATCAGCTAGAGTCTCCAGCTGACTCTGGATTCCATGCAGCGCTGCCCCTTGGAAGCGCCACTGCAGTGTTTCCAAGGGGCAGCACATTAGGAGCCTGGGATCAGCTGGGGACTCCAGCTGATCCCCAGCTCCGCTGTTGCAAAACTCCTTTGAAGCGCTGGAGCAGCACTTCAAAGGGGCTCCGCTTGAACTGCCCCTTTGCAGTGCCATTTTGGTGCTTTAAAAGGACAGCGCATTAGGAGCCTCGGATCAGCTCAGGACTCCAGCTGATCCCTGGCTCCGCTTGCGCTGCCCCTTTGAAGCGCTGGAGTGGCATGTCAAAGGGGCAGTGCAGCATTAACGCCTGCGATTAATGCGTTAAAAAAATTAACGTGTTCATCCTGTCCTGCGTTGATCGCAGGCGTTAACGCAGGACAATTGACAGCCCTATTAATCTTACATCATAAAATTAGCCGCAGTTCCCGATTCTCCATATTAAGTCAACTTTTCTTTAATATATTTATCCCCTTTTTGTTGAAGTCTGACTGTCCCAATATATAAAATAGTTTATTCTATGGTATATGCCTAACCAAGGGCCAACTGGTTCTAACAACGCATTTCATTCAGTACACTTTTATGTTAAAAATCCATCATGTGGGGCACTGGTCTCCAACCTTTTCAAGAATATGGACCCCTTTTCAATCTATTAAAATTTTATGCCCCCTTCCCCCAACAGTATAGCTGTGCCTACTGTCTGCACATCCCTCAGCACACGCTGCTTCCCCAGCAGCATCCTTCAGCCCACTGGAGAAGTAGCATGGACTGACTGATGTGCCGGCTGCCGGCATGAAGCGTCTCAGTTCAGCTGCAGGGAAGCAATGCAGGTTGCAGGACGTGCTGGCTGAGAGAGGATCCACACAGACCCCTTACAGTACCACTGTGAACCCCTGGTCACAAGTTGGGAACCACTGATGTGGGGTTAATACATTAACTATACCTTCCAGGACACATGCCAACATCATAACACTGTGATGTCTACAAAATCGATGTGAAAGGTTGACTGGTAAGCATCACCCTTAACCAGTGGGAATTGGAGTAGCTCCCTGCATCCGGAACAGCGATTGTCTGCAGCAGGCCCGGGTGCGTCACAGGCAGCCCCTGCTTGCAGCGTGTTGCAGGCAGGGGCTATTCTAGATGCCCAGCACAGTCCCTGTCCATGGAGGCGCTGGAGTAGTTCCCTGCCGAAGCAGCTCCCCTTAGTTAACCCGTTAAACAAAAATTCAACTTTACGTTTAACCTGTTAACCAATTACACAGGATTTTACATCCCTAGTTTACAACTCTGCAACTGGATTCAAACATCACAATATTACTGGATTGTACTGCAGTAAATGTGTGTGTCTTAATTTCCTGGACATCATGAACGGTTCTGTAAAAAATCAAAAGGGATATTATAATAGGCTCTAGGATAACATTTCTTTGCATTCTTTCTCCTCCACCTGTCTCCTCCTTCGCTCCCAATATCTGAGGAAACAACCAGAGATATTTCTCTTACTTTTAAAAATCATGGTCAAACAACATTAAGATGTATTGCAGACAGACTTTTAAATGCTGAAATATCGGATAACTTCAACCTCACCAATCAAATTTGAAATGCATAAGTTTTACAAAAAATACCTTTCTTAGCCTTTCAGGGGAAAACTCCAGACCAACTAGAAATAGAGTGAAGAACACACCAAACTCTCCTAATGTCTCGACTTGTACAATAGACTGCAAAACAAGAATAATAAAGGTTTGGTGTACTAGTTTGCTTACTATGATACAATCACATTTACATTCCAGTTTTAGCTATGCTGTATTATGGGACATATAGGATGATAAATATACAAATTTTTAGACCAGTAGTATCCAAATTGTAGTCTGTGGAGCACTTTCTAGTAGTTGCATGGTGCTGGCTTTCTGTTCACAACTATTTCTAAAGGTGGCCAGCTCTTTTGCACAAAGATTAATTACAAAAAATAAAGAACCTGAATACCTGCCTCTTTCTAGGGTTGTTGCTATAGAAGGAGTGGTGAAAAAGGAACATATGCTACCCTCAGGAATAGGAGCCACTAGTCATCAATAGGAGACAAATGTCCAGAGGAGTGGTAAAAAAAATAATAAAGCAGCTGGGGAACATTTCCAGAGAAGGAAACCAACCAGCAAAGAAGCAGGTGCAGAACAAAGACAAGGGGAACAGGTGGCAGAGAAGCATGTACAGGGTGCAGCAAGAGGAGAGAACAACAGATGGTAGGAAGAGATTAAATGAAGAGCAAAAGTAGGCATTAGGGTTTTTTCTACAAGTGACTGTTCATTAGATAACTAAAAATAAAAAAAATCTTCCTTGCAGCAACTACTAGAGCAATTACTTAGAAAAGTGACTGGGAACAACACAGATGATGGCCTGTGCAACTGCAAAGTGGTGTTGTTCTGCAAGATAACCTCTCTATTAATATGTGGTGCATGTTGAAAATTATAGCAGACCTCTGACCCTGTTCTAAAACATCTTTATTACTAAACAGTCAAAATTTTAAGCATGTTTCTACTATAAGTTTATGGACATTATCTTTTTAAAAATTACATATTCATTTACTGTCTTCTTTCCAATTTTCAATCCCTCACTGTAATAGGGTGCGCTCACCTCTCATGAGTGCCCCCTGACTGAGTATGACTACACTCATTCAGTTTGTGGTGGCTCTTCAGTGACTTGGCCCTCCGGCCAGGAGACACACTGTCTATATGTAAAATAAAGCAAACCCCTTCTGGGGTACATCTCCAACAGAGGCCTTTTTCGGTGCTCTCTAGTGTCTGTTTATCCCCACCAGAGTGGAAAAACTAGAGTGGTGACCCAGAGCTCCTTCCTTGGACGCAACGTCTTTACCCTCTTAGGGCCTTTCTGGTCACAACTCTCCAGCTGGGCTGCTACACTTTAGTTATCCTTTTGGGATACCTGGAAGTCCAGGCCTCTTCCCACAGTGTCTAATAAGGGGGTTTGAAGGGACCACCTGGACCCTTCAACTCTGGGTCCCAGCCCAGGGCCTCTGTATATAGCAGTTGTCTGCCATGTCCATTTAAATAACTATGTCGCTGCTATAACTCCCTGAGCCACTTCCCCATGGCTCCAGCACATTCTTCACCCTTCCTTGTGGGCCTTTTCCCAGGGAAGTCCCAGCAAACAGCCCACAGCACTATCTGCTCTTCTCCAGCTCTAGCAGGGCACTGAATTGGCTCTGGTCCTACAGCTCTATATACACTAGCTTGCTGGGCCCTGATTGGCTGCTTCTCACATAATTGCTCCAGGGAATTTAGAGGACTTCTCTACTGCTTTTTTCTAGGGCAGGGTGTTGCAGGGCCACAAAGCCTCCAGCAGAGATTCTTGGGGCCTAGCTCTCTGTAATTAGCCTGGGGCTGGGGGGGGATTTAAAAAAAAAATTGAAAAATTCTGTCCTTCCAGGGTGGAAAAAAAGCTCGAAAAAGGAATGAATGCTAATGGATCTGGAATCAGAAGGCAAATAAAAAGAACATATGATGCAGTGTCTTTACAATTCTATGATTTTCTGGGGCCTGCCTCATGATTTTTGAAGAATGAAAGTTGACAATACTATAAATTGTTACAAAATTATTAAAGCAACCCTAAAAATGAAGGCAGGTATAAAAATATACAAGGCTATGTCTACACAGCACTGTTATTTTGGAATAACTGACGTTATTCTGAAATAACAGTCTGCATCTACACTACAAGCAGTTATTTTGATATAATGTCGAGCTGGAGGACTTCTTACTCTGACTCCTGTAAGCCTCATTGTACGAGGAGTAAGGGAAGTTGGAGGAAGCGTGCTCTCCTAATTTCCTACTATGTAGACTATTTCAATTTAAACTACACAATTGACAAAGCTCAAGTTCAGTAGCTTATTTTGGCTTTACCCCTGCTGTGTAGACGTGCCCCAAGAGTCCCACTCTCTTACCTTAATGCTGTTTAATCCTGATGGTCCCAAGAGTACTCCACAAATGATGTATCCAAACATGGTTGGCAATCCTATCATTGTGCACAGCCAACCACATGGCAAAGATAACATTCCTATCATCACAATATCCTAGCGTATAAAATTGATAAATATATTTATATAAAAGTAATGTGGAAATTAGGTGAAATTAACAGCTATTCCTAACCATTACATTTAGTGGCAATGTTCAATGCATGTTTCAGATATGACTGAATGAAGCTTCAAAACTCATATGGAGTAAGCAGCATCACTGCCACTTGCACATTAAGAAACTAAGGAAAAGAGCTGTATATTGTAAATTTAATAGACCTTGCCTGTTTTTGAAAATGAGATAACAAAAAAGTAATTTCTTTAAAACCTGTAACTATGTTGTATATTAGACAACTCTGGAAAGCTGCTTTCAGCACACAAGTCAAATAAAGATCTGACACAAAAATGAAATAACGATATGTCAAAAGTTTTTGGCTCAGAGGAGATTTAATTCTGCCATGTCTCTCTTTGACCTAATGCAATGAAGCTTCCGTAAAAGAGAAATACAAGGAAATATTAAAGGAAGAACTAAATCCATAATAATAAAAAGTATCAGCCAGAAGTAGCTCATATTCCCAAATGAAAACCAATTGTGGCAAAATAATTCAAAATGAATAATGTTGAGAATGCTAATGAACCATGTATATCAAAGCATTTATATTTGCAATAGTAATGAGACCTTCCAAACTGGAGTATCTGAAATACAGAAACAGATTTACATTCTAAACTCTGGATTCATCAGTCTGGAATCAGTCCCTTGCAGAAAAGAATGATGAGGGTGCAAAGATTGTGCATCACCACCATAGATTCATTGGAACTGCTAATTGATCTAAAGATTGAGGGTCCTGGTACAAGAGGATGCTCTAAGACCCTTTTAGGCAATGGTTCACAGTCCTGATGAAAGGGAACTAACAAAAATGTGTATTTGGGAGAGACAGAGCAAGACCAAGAATCCTTTACACTAAAACATTTATGCATTTGTCTATTACTTCTGCTGAAAACTCACATGAGAATAAATTATACAAGTTTTCCAGACTGGTATTATCAGATGGTAGACATTTTTAATTTTAAACTACAATCTTAGTATGTACAATACAAAGGGCTGAAAGGAGATTAGCGCCTTTGTCTTGTCTGACAAAATTTATGTTAAAATATTTAGATGATTTGCTTTTAAAAGTTATAGATTGATAAGAGTTTTCTGAACATGTAACATTGAGCAATGCTAAGTCTTTGATAAGGGAAGATAAATGGAATTTGAGAACTTTTCCATTTACCAAATCACAATAGACAATATTCTAAAAAAAGTGTAACAATTTACCTTTATGAAATGGTGATCAGCACGAGGGATGGTAGAATCCCTGGGCTTGGTAAGTATATACTGATTGTTTTGGGAATCAATAAGCATGCTTAGACCCAAGTTATCTTCTACTTCTCTTTTTGAAATATTTCTCTTGGAGTCTGCTTCATCTTCTTCCACCCTTAACACTGCTTCAAAATTAACACCTCTCACCTGGCAGAAAGAAAGCATTTCTCATGAGAGATTGAGATTGTTTTTGTAAAAGTATGTTTTTGTAAAAGTATGTTTTTGTAAAAGTATCTGCTTTTTATATAACAAATGTATAAACAAGTTCAAATATTGATTAAATATTGAGGGTTTGTTGTAATAAAAGTAATACAATTAAGAAATTAGGGAATAAAGACATTGATGAGCAGGCAGGGGATATCAGTGTTGGAAGGGAGGCCAAGTGTATAACGCGCCAGATTGGAATTCAGGAGAATTCTATTCCTGGCTCTGCTACTGATCTATTGAGTGACCTTAGGCAAGTCACTTAACTACCTGTACCTCAGTTTCCCATATGTAAAATGGAGATAAAACTGATCATTCTAAAGCACTGAGATTTACAGGTGAAAGACACTACATAAGCACTAACAACGAGAAGTCCTGTAGCTTTTGTGGGCAAAGACCCACTTCATCTTTGCCCAAGAAAGCTTATGCTCCACTAAATCTGTTAGTCTATAAGGGGTCACAGAACTTCTTGTTGTTTTTGCAGATTCAGACTAACACAGCTACCCCTCTGATACATAAGCACTGGTATTAATTGAGTGTTAAGGAGCATCTGCTGGGCCAATATTAAAACATTTGGATTTTGTCTCCTAAAGGAGTATTTATTGCATATGGATTGCACATGACAAAGTACTATTTGCCTGTTTTATGTGTGTTTGCTGTTCTCTTGTATAAGAGGCTTAACAGCATTATTTTCCTCTCCTTTTTATCCACTGGTTATATTTGGATGAAAACAGAGAACTGGTAATCTAAACATAAATTAACAGTGTTATTTTCCTTATAAAAGTGTGGTGGTAGCTCACTTTGGTAAAATTACATGTTTTGGTTTAAGAAAAACTACAAGAAAATATTGAATGCGTCCTGCTAACCTAAAGTGGGATACTGAGAAGACTTCAGATTGGAACTTTATTCCTTCTCCCCCAAGGACATAGTGTGAATATGAATAAAGAAAAGAAATACATTAGAGAAAAAGGAACAATACATTGGCTCTTGCCATTTAGCAGGAAGTGTAGCATGAAAGGGGTGTGCAGACAAACCTGGCCTCCTTCCACACAGCCTGATTCCATAAGGAGGTACTACTACTAGCAGGGTAACAGAACACAATGCTGTTGCCAACACACCATGGTCACTGATGCTCCTGCAGAACCCCCAACTACAAGGATATCCCAGCCTAGAGTAGGGAAAAACATAACATCTTGTTGCTTCCCAACAGGAGGCCTTCACAAAGGGGGCTTATATAGGCCCCATCTGCCTCCTAAAAGGCAACTTCCTGTCCCCCAGAACATAACTCATGAACTGCACAGAGTACTTGCCAGGAACTGCAAGCCAACAAAAGCCTTTCCCACCAGAATAAAACCCTTCCAAAAGTAGAAGCCAAGGCCAAAAAGCTGTATCCTTATGTTAAGATAACAGCACTGACTGAAGAAACTCTAAGGCATGGAGAAATGGAAGCGCTCCCTACTTCAACACACACACCTAAGTATTATTTCTTTCTCCCAGACCCCCCACAGCCACATAGTCATTGCAAGTAGCCCAAGAGACTGAAAACAGATTAAATTCAAGTGGAAAAAAAGCCACTGCAAACTCAGAGAAGTGTGTCATGCCCTTACCTTGTACACTATTCCTTTTTCCAGACTGTGAAACCTAATTTCAAGGGTTCTCCTTCTCCCATTATGTTCTCAACAAAAACGGAGAAAACAAATCAGAAATAAAAATGGAGACTAATTTTAAAAGGGTTATCCTGAATTCTGAGAGCCTAGAGGACCCCAAATAACATTGTGCTAGAGGACAGTGAATGTTATGTCAACATCATGACGTACAACCATGTTCCACAAAATAAAAGCGACAATCATGTTTAAAATGTCCAGTCCAAAAGAAAACATTTGCTATGATAAGGAAGTGGTAAGGAAGATGATTGACAGTACCTACTTCACGGCAAGCAGCAATACTAGCACTAAATAAACTATTTCTTCTGTGGAATTCGGAGGACAAGATACATACATAATAAGGTTGAATATTTTATATTTGTCACTAAATTACTACCACGATTACATCTGACATAAAAGCAATGCTTAGTTCATATTAAAAATTAAAGTATATGAATTAAAAAGCAGAATGATTTCTAGAATGTCACTTAACTGATTTGTTATCATCAAAGGCATGTTCTTCTATTTCTTCTTCCAGCCTATCGGCTGCTTTTCTAACATCTTCAAGAATTTCATCAAGTATGGACAGGCTTTTATTTTGATGCTGCATGTTCTTAAGGGCTTCAACCTGATGTTTTTCTGCTGCTAAAAGTTCAATATATTCTGTTTCCTCCTGTTGGATTTTATAGCAAATAAGAATGAAGTTTTTATTTGATCTTTCAAGTGAACACATTTATTAATACCTGTTTTAAAACAAACCATATTACAAGAATTAGAACTTCATAGCAAATTTTATGAAAACTCTGAGCCTTTAAAGTTGTTTTTCTATCTTTTAATTTGTTATTCGAAAAGTCTCATCCACCCATTCTTACAGTTCCTCTGTTCTTTTATAACATTTAGAAGTAGCAGCAAAGCTGAGGAGCAGGGAATATCACAGAGGGGACACCTTAAGAAACTCTCTACAGGTTGGACCTCCGTGGTCCTGTCCCCTCAGTACCTGACTGGCCCCGAACAAGGGAATTTGCTGGACTAGGGGGCCGGCCTCCCAGTCCCATGCTACTATGCTTCCGGCCCCAGCTGGCTCCCCTTGGCTTTAGCCGGCAGTGACCCAGAGCTCCTGGCTATGCAGTGACACCCTCAGTCCCAAGATTCCCAGGTGCGCTGCCAGACTTCCCTGCCATGGGGCTCCCCTCACTGCCAAAGTCCCCTATCCCAGGGCTTTCAGCCACACTGCGGGACGCCCTGTGCTGCCTGAGTCCCCTGCCACCATGCTCCTCCTGCCACCTCAGCCCCTTGTCCCAGGGCGGATTCCCTGTGCCTGGACTTTCTGGTCCAGGAACATCCATGGTCCAGTCTGGACCAGAGAGCCCTGGTTTAAGGGGTACAACCTGTACAAGATATATTAATTCCAAAGCCAAGTGCAAGTGAAAAAAATATATTTTAGCAAGGCAGTCAGAGCACTGTGAACTGAAATATGGCTTCATTAACTATTAACAAGCAAACAAATATAATGGAAAATATGCTGAAAGTTCTATAAACCTCTATAAAAATCAGGAAATAGTTAAAAAGACCATAATGGTGCCACCATGAACAGAAAAAACAAACATATCAAATGAGTTCATAAATAGGTCAGGTGAGATTTAAAGCATGCTTTCAAACAGATATTTGCAGGTAAGAAAATATTTCTCTTTTTCAAACCTATAATGCTTATTAACCAAACAGTTAACTTTTTTCATGATTTGTGGCTAGGTGCTTTAGGGTGGTAACTGGAATTTAAACACAAAACAGTACATCCAATTTATTTGATTACACAAAATAACTTTAAATGTTTTGGATAAATCTCTTATCACAACAAGCATCACATTTACAACTAAATCATTTATTAAAACTGCGAGATTAACTATAGCCAGTGAATTAATATTTTAAATTTAGCCTTGGGAAAAATTTCAAATATGCCTAAGTGAAAATGAAAGAAGCTTAACTTCCTACTCACCTAGGTCAATTCAAAATGTCTCTCAAATTCCTTAGGCCCATCTATTGTGCCAGATTTATAAAGCTTGACTTCAAAAGTTAGATGTTTCTCCCTTGATTCTTCATATAGAAAAGCAGACTTTAACTGTTTTGATAAAGGCTCATGGATTTAGCATATTCATTTTAAAATAAATGTTTTAAGAAATTTTAATAAGTTTAGGCCTTAATATATTTTGTATTAAATTAATATTTTGTTTAAAATAGGTTTTTTTTTTTAAAAGAAAAGCTTTTTATAATTTAAATGAAATAAAAAATCCAATTTAAATGTTAAAAAATTCTGACTTTTTCCCAAAAGAATTATTGATTTTAATCCATTCTCTTTGTAAGAGCACAAACACTACACTGAGTTTCTTTGGGATAGGGAAGAAAAGGAAGGTGGCACAGAGAAACATTTTTAAAAGACTGAGATGTATTAGCCTAGTGAAAATAAGAATTTACCAGATTTCTGCTTTTATCTGGATCCAGAACACTAGTGATAGCCACTTTCTGGACCTTAATGGATATGACACTAAGAACAAGTGTAAAACTTTGCACTGCATTTAGCAGAAGACATGAGCAGTTCTGAGGTTACATTGTTCTCCCTTTGATGAAAAGAGCAAGTTCAGCCAATTTAGTCAAATAGGAAGAAATCATTAATACCTTGCTGGATGGTTAATGTTTGACAACAATCTGTTCAGTGCAATGCTGTCACCGCAGATTATCCCTTTAAAACTCTTTCTAGGCAAACGGGGACTTCTAGATATGATGAAAACCCTGGCCTTGGTGTACAGATTTATTTATTAACATGTTTAGAATTGCCAGATCCTACAGTCACAATGGAATGATGAAAATTACGCTTTGCCAGGTAAAGCTTTGACAATGTTCCTAGAATAAGTGGAGTTGTGATGAAAATTGACAGCAAATATGGCCAGGCAAAATATCAATATCTTTAGCTCTTCTCTGTAGTCCCTCCGTAAAGAATATTTGCACTTTCATATTTTTCCTTGACGCTGTATGCTTCCCATCCCTTTATACCTCTCTGCCTGAAAGCATTATTTGAAGGGTAAAAACCATCCTCTCCCATACTTCTATAACTAATGCACAGACACTCTTCTTGGACAATGATGGACAGGAAAGTAAGGTGCCTTTAACATCCAGGTAGTTTTTCCTAGCAAGAGGAGAAATTCATGCCAACTCCTCCCCTATGTCAGAACAAACTGGAGGGGAAAAACACTCAGAGTAACTGTGGTAAAGAAGTATACAGGGCTATAAATGGAAAACAGAGATTAGCTACAGCTGAATAGTAATACAAAAAGATCTCTGATCACTTGAAAGACAGTTAGCTGCAACTGGCTCTTGATCTGATTGAGGAAGAACTTCTGCAATATTTACAGGGGGAGCCTTTTCTATTCCACCCACACCACAACTATGCAAATTTCCAAATGCTGCAATGGAGCAGAAGAATTCATCTGCAAGGAATGGCAGGCAAGTCCATGAAAAGAAAATGTTGCTTCAAAGCTGTTGCTTTTAACAGACTTAGTCAAAAGCATACAACATTGCACACACTGCACAGTACCTCATATTGGATGGAATGAGACACCTGATCACAACATGGGAGAATCTGCACCAGTATTATCTGCACTTCAAAAGTTTACCAGACACATACTAGCCACAAGACTAAACACTTAGGCTATGTCTACACTACGCTTGTTTTGCGCAAGAAATATGCAAATGAGGGTAAGCGTGGAATATCACGGAGCCTCATTTGCATAATTAATGAGTGACCGCTTTTTGCGCAAGAGGCTTTTGCGCAAAAAGCAGCCATCTACACTGCTCCTTGCACAAAAAACCCCTCTTGCGCATGAGCCGTTCTTCCGCATTTTTTTCAGGAAGAACGGCTCTTGCGCAAGAGGGGGTTTTATGCAAAAAGGAACAGTGTAGACAGCTCCTTTTTGCACAAAAGCCTCTTGCGCAAAAAGCGGCCACTCATTAATTATGCAAATGAGGCTCCGTGATATTCCACGCTTACCCTCATTTGCATATTTCTTGCGCAAAACAAGCGTAGTGTAGACATAGCCTAAGTGTTTAGTCTTGTGGCTAATATGTGTCTGGTAAACTTTTGAAGTGCAGATAATACTGGTGCAGATTCTCCCATGTTGTATAAATTCTGCAGGACCTATTAGGAGCACCAGCTATGAGCCAAGAAACAGAAAATCACAACCTCACTTTACTTCTAGATTATATCAAACCCATGTCAAGCTGTTAAGAAGGTGCCCTTTCTAAAGGATCCCATCATCACCAGATAAACAAGGAAACTCTTCAGAGGTTTAAAAAAAAAAAAAAAAAAAAAAATCTTTGTTGGCATTCTAATTTGGCAAGGAATTATTTATCAACAATGGTGGGTGTGAAATCTCTAGTTCTTTATTGTTTTATGGTCACAACTTCTCTATTCTTTATCTGTATGGTTCTTTGATTGTTTCTGTCTGTTGCATAATTAATTTTACAAGATTTAAATCAACTAAGGTGTAGTGTATGAGTGGGTAAAGAATTATTTTGCAATAGGTTAGGATTGATGAAAGAATTATTTTGTAATATCCTGGGGTACGTCTAGACTACATGCCTCTGTCGCCAGAGGCATGTAGATTAGGCTACCAGACATAGTAAAATGAAGCAGCGATTTAAATAATCGCCGCTTCATTTAAATTTACATGGCTGCTGCGCTGAGCCGACAAACAGCTGATCAGCTGTTTGTCGGCTCAGCGCGATAGTCTGGACGCGCGGGTGTCGACGTCAAAGGTATTTGTCGACCACCCAGGTAAACCTCATCCCAGGAGGCATACCTGGGTGGTCGACAAATACCTTTGACGTCGACACCCGCGCGTCCAGACTATCGCGCTGAGCCGACAAACAGCTGATCAGCTGTTTGTCGGCTCAGCGCAGCAGCCATGTAAATTTAAATGAAGCGGCGATTATTTAAATCGCTGCTTCATTTTACTATGTCTGGTAGCCTAATCTACATGCCTCTGGCGACAGAGGCATGTAGTCTAGACGTACCCTTAGTAAAATGATTGGTTAAGGTATAGCTAAGCAGGGCTTAAATTTCACATATAAACTGTCGTCCAAGAACGTGACCAGCTAAGAAGGAAAAAAGGAGGACGAGGAAAGACTTGAAAGAACTCACCCCCAAGATACAGCCTGCAAAGAATCCTCTGCAGAACCGTAACTCAGACAAGACTGACCTTGCCTGGCCAACAGGGAAAGTCCACCTGCACTGTATGCTTAGTTAGTGAGTGTATTTTTCTTGGTGTGGGGTGGTTGTGCTCAGATGGCGGAGTGGATGGGAGGCAGCTTGGGGAAGGGGGAGAATTAGGACTCAGATGGTGGAGCGGATGCAGGGCAGCCCAGGGGGAAGGGATCAGGCTCAGATAAGCTACTATCACCGTTGCCAAACAGCAGGACAGCAAAATGTGTAAGTTCTTCATCGAGTAGTGTCCCCGAGGGTGCTCCACTCGAGGTGCTGGGCTCGTCCCAGTGCCACAAACCGGAGGAATTTTCTGTAGCAGTAGCCCCCCTACCAGACTGCGCATGCGCTACTGCCTCTTCGCGCCTCTCAGCTGAGCGCAGTCCGGTCCTGTCAGTTTCTCTCCAACCATCCACAGCCGC